ATTTTTTGTTTATTTTTTGCATGTTGTTATACATTTTAACATAAGGGACGATTAATTATTATTTATTGTATTATAAATTAATTAAGGGACAAAAATAATTATTATTTATTATTTATTATATCATACAGAATTTATAAACTACGATTTAAGGAAGAATTAAAATTGTGTACGTATATATACATTAAAATAGCGTCAAACAAACGGAAAAAGATAAAATAGAAAAATTATGTAGCAACCTCATCATTAACTTTACATTAACATTCCCCAGCTCTCATTATGTTAAGTGCTACGAATTATTGAGGCAGAAAGACTCGTTATTTCCTTATTTTGTTCGTTACCTCCTTTTTCATTTTACGACACGTTTTATACTTTGTTACATATAAATAATTACTATATTATCACGTCGTATAACAGTATATATCGTATTGTACATATATGTATCGCGGCACTACTGGTCTAACAAATATTTGAGAAATAAACGTATTTCCTCTCCTGCAAAAATGCATCGTGTGGTCAAAGAAAGAGAAAGATAAAAGAAAAGTGAGAGAGAGGGGGGAAGGCGAGAGAGGAGGAGGGGGAGAGAGAGAGAGAGAGACAGACAGAGAGAGAGAGAGAGAGAGAGAGAGAGAGAGAGAGAGAGAGAGAGAGAGAGAGAGAGACAGAGAGAGAGAGGCTTGGACCAGAGGAAATGTGCGCGTAGTGGCTAAGGAATGCACAAACAGCTGATGCAGCACTCATTGTCAATAGAAAAGGAAATACAGAATCAGACAAAGAAATCATCGTCAGTGCCACGGACAATGGAAGAATAAAATGCAATCAAATGAAAAAACTCACGATGAGTAAAAGAAACTGACATAACAGAAAAGAAAAAAATAGAAAAATTAAATATTTTTGTTATCTATATCCTGGTGAAAATTTTTCTCAGAATTTTTCATATAATTTTTCAGAATTTCTATATATTTTTATAACTTCCTCACATTTTTTGTACGAATTGGAACATTTCTAAGAAAATGTACATCTTTTGTCAGAATTTTTCATATATGTTAATTATGAAATATCGTAAGATTTCTAAGATTTTTTTGTAAGTATAATTTCTGATGAAATATTATAAAATGTAAAAAATTTAAAAATATTTTCTAAAAATTATGGGATGAGAAATTTCAGAATATATTTCAGAATTCGCTTGTATGAAAAATTCTGAGAGAAGATGTAAACTTTCCGAATATTTCTGAGTATTTCTGAAAAATGTTCCAATTTTCGTATAAAAAAATTATGAGAAAAATTTTCATCAGAATAATCCGTACAGAAATGTAGCACTGGAAGAAACTGGTTAAATACTTACTTTACTGTTGTGCAGTACTTTTAATTATATTCAAAATTAATTAAATAATATTTCGTATATTTAGTAATCACCTTTCCATTTTCTCTTCACATCTCTAATAAATTCAATTTAATACCAAAATAATTACTTATTTTGAGTTTTAAAAGCTCTGAACGACAACTGCACTTTTAATACTCAGAATAAATAATTTTCAATATTAAAATGATAATATTAAATAAGATTTCCGTAAGAGAGATGAAGAGATGATTGGGAGATAAACGAAATCTTTGAATTTGAATAAAAACATTCATCAGAGAGGAAGAAAAAAAAGGTATAGCAAATTCGATTGGACGCGCTTAGTGCGACTAATGCACATTAAAGCCATCAACACAAGTTACCACGAAGATGTGTCAATTTAATACAAATATAAAAGCGGGTTAAATCGTGAAATCCTCAACACATTTTATTGTGTTGTTAAGTTGAAGTATATATTTTATATAATTCAAAATATTTGCGTTTCATTTTTACACTCAGATTAAATTGGTGTACAATGAAACTGGCTTTTATGCACCTTTATCGAATTCAATTTGACTTTGTTCGAATATAGCCAATAAATTGTTTATAATTGACTTTAATATATATCAGTGTGCACTAGTGCGCCCAACCGAATTCCTTAACTAAGACAGAAAAGTCAAGGAACTGGAGGTATACGAGACGAGTAGAAAAAATAAGTGCATCTCCCGACGAGGGAACCACTGCTGCATTGCATCCAGTGGAAAAGGAGGCTGCGGTCAGCCGGAGGAATCGACAACGCGCAGTGGAGAAGGATTGCGTTGGCCGGACGACGGAGCCGACGCGACGCGACGGCGGCACCGACGAGATAATAACGGAGATCCACGTCACGCGCGTTCGCCAAAAGAATGAGCGCGGGAACGAATGTAACATCGTCGTCGTCGTCGTCGCAATGCAGCACGCGTTTCATTCCCGCGTGTGTGCGTGGGTGCATCAATACGCTTTCAAATTGGCGTGCAATCGGTACAGCCGGCTCTTCCGCCAGCCATTAATCGATGCATACGGACTACATTGAAGAGAGAAAGAAAGAGGTAACCAAATTGTGATGCACATTTTGTTGAATTTGTACACTGAAATAAATGCTCTGATGAGAGATTAAATGGAATTTTGATTCTCTCATCTCTTTTGCACGACATAATTTTAAGCTCGATTAAGTCACTACGCTGAGGAAAATGTTCTAATTAAACTAACAAAAGAACTCTTTCCAGGTAGCAAGCTGATGTTATTCGAATTGCTGATAACAAAAAAATGATAACTTCTAAAAATTCTATTCGGTTTCACGAAAATATTATTCTTGTTAACAGGGTATTCTAGTGTGATTACTCGTTTTTAAGGTAAATTTTGGGAAAAATTTAAATTTATTAAAACGGTTAAACCTACAGAGTTCACATTTACATTCATTCATATTTGGCATAACTTTTTAAATTTTTGTAAAGCTTTTTATTCTATATTATACAAGATATATGGATAGATCGCGCAGATGATGTCGCGAAAAATTGTTTTTATTGGGCACAGCAATTACCAGGACTCCTATTCTTGAAAAGTATCGCATACGTAAAACTAAGAAAATACTATATGTATATGGTATGTATATGTTACACTATAGTATTTCCTTAGTTTTTTTGTATGCGATACTTTTCGCGAATATGGGCCCTGACTTTGTCTGAAATAAAAATTTCTTTTTGTCTTATTTTTTATGATTGTCATCATTCGACCATTAAATAAATCATAGGAAGAAAAATTGATAAAATGACAGCGCTTAAAAGAAGATACTTCGACTTTTTACTAAAAAATATTTACTTCTGGCGACCTGAAAAAATAGTAATTTCAAAGATATCAAAAAGTTGGAGGGTCGAACGATAGCCTAAATATGTTTGCAAAAGCGGAAGCCGATCGACCCAGTAGTTTGCGAGAAAAATGTGTGTCCGATTTGAAAAATGTCGTTTAAAAAAAACGCGATAAATGTTTCTCATGCATTTACAAGATGAATAATGAGTAATTTCAGTATCCCGTTAGTTAACTACACAATATTTTCAAGACCTCTACAAGAATATAAAAATTACAAGAACATAAAAAAAAACTCGAAACATACTAGAATACCCCCTTAAGTTCTTTTGTTGCTTTAATTGGTACATTTTTCTCGACGTAGTGACTTAATTGAGCTTGAAATTATCCCACAAAAGAGATGAGAAAATGAAAAAATTCTGTTCAACCTCTTGTGTTGAAGAAATCTAATTTTATTTCTCCGTTATTAGGTAGTACGAATAAATTACGTTAAGGCTTACAGTTGTGCAATTTTAAATCTCAAATTTACGCCCCGCGTGATCGTACTGTGCGTAGAATATTGTCACAAACGAAGTTCTATCTTAAACTTTGGGATTAGAAAACAGATATCTTGTATATTTATCCCATATTTCCATCAAAGAAAAACAAACTTTATTTTCATGCTTTAGTTAAATAAATTCTCTTAGTCAAAGAATTTTGATTAAGGGCTAGCGGTTCCATCTTTCGGTAAATTTTACGCGTGTAGAATTTAAAAAAACCCTATAAAAGAATTTATTTCAAACTGCATACTATTTTCCATTACGGAAATATAAAATTTACATAATTATATTATACGCTAATAAGAAGAAATTTCTTCTCGCATTTTTCTTCACTTTCGCATGAAGTCGAACGCGGGCCCTGTAAAATTCCATCTGCTTGGTTCCCGTTCTACGTCCTCCTAACGTCGTCCCTGGTTCTCCAATCGTCGTCGTAAGCGCGGAACCGTCACGAAAATGAATTCGACGCGTCGGACGTATTTAATACACGCCGCTATTCGACATGTGTCCAGAAAAACAATTTTTTGCCGATGTTCTCTCTCATCGACAAAGGTCTCCGCTACGCGCGTATGTATGTACATACACATAATGTATCGTACATAATCGGTAGCGAGCGCGATGCCGATGATGTCGGGGTGGTGAGGAGCGCTGTTCAGCTCAGGAGTGAGGATATAAGCGCACGAGGATAAAAACGAAACGGATCGGTGGCACGCGCTGTGATTGGCCGCCGCCCCGGTGGCCGTAATTTACCCCGAAAATCGGCCCGAATTCCGGGAAACGATACCGAGGCCCCCCCGGCGCCCCGCGTCCCCCTCCGGGGTAACT